GCTGTTCCACTGAAAGTAGGTTGTGGTTAGACAGTGTTCGAAGAGTTTGGCGATGTCTGGTGGAAATTCTCTCGCAACAAGTTCCATTGCCTCCCTGTGGAAGAGCATACATCGGCACCACAAAACGAAGCATAAACACTAGGATCACGGAGCACAAACGAAGTTGCAGATTGGGACAAACGGAAAAATCAGCAGTAGCGGAGCACGCACTACTAGACGGCCACCAAATACGCTTCCACGAAGTTGACATTCTGCACCAATCTGAAAGATACTACCCGAGACTCACCAGGGAGGCCATCGAAATATTTAAACACCAAAACAATTTCAACAGAAAAGAAGAAATTACGGCTCTCAATCCAGATTGGAAGCGCGTTTTGCGCCAAACAGCATGTGCGCCGAAGCGTTGGAACCCCCACCCATCCCCCACGCGTGAGCACACACGGCTGGGCGGCATAAATACGACTGGGAATCCAGCAGTTGAATCATTCTTAGTCGGTAAGCACGGGAGATCACTTCGCCCACTGCCTCATCGCCTTTGAAAATGTCCACCGCAGTTGTGAACGAAACGTCAGGAAGAAATTCCAATAGACCACGGCTTCAAAGCCCGGAAAACATTCCTAAATGGTTTAAGTTGTTCATTTAAATACTACGAATACAAAATCTGATACCTTATTAAGTTGATCAGAATAAATCATTTGTGAATTATTAATAATTTGTTATCAATTTAAAAATACTCAAAATTATCAGTCTTTCTTTGTGCTAATATAAAGACAATGCTATTATTTTTCTTCCAACAAATTCAAACAATCCCTCTTAAAAAATTATAAATTACTAGCCAAGACCGTATAAAATTTACCTATAAATTTCTATACTATACCATTTGTTTGTCATTTTGATCTAGAGCTTATCTAGGGTTCGAAAGTCACGAGAGAATGAAGAAAAATTATTGGCGGACTCGCGGTCGTTTATCTCGACAATTTATAAAATAATTACCATCAAACAATAAACAAAATCACCTAACCTTAAATCGTCTGAACTCATTTGTAGAACTTGTCAACGATACGTTCGATAATAACAAACCGGTAGGTTTATTTGATTGGTTCGAATCGCCGCAATCCATATAAGTGACAAGAAGTGCCGTATACGTAGGCGCTTGTAGTGAAATCGCATTCACAGTTATAAGCATTATTTTAAAATCACGCTTTAGCTCATCTCTACACGGCTACAACACCATCGAAAACGACAAATAATAGATTAGCAATAGATTGCATTTGTAACTGTCGATGTCACATCTAAAAATATTTTTTATTCGAATAAATCTAAAACTGCCATTTTGCGATCAGAAGTGATGATCATAAAGAAGCACTTTTCTTTACTGTTTGTTTGCTCTACTTTTACGCACGGACTTTTAATTGTCACAAATTGAACGTGTCTTATATTTTCATTAAAAAGTAACCGATATGTTTTCTAATTAATTACATAGGTTTATCAACTGTTGAATCATAATTTACAGTTTACTTAGAATTTGTAAATTATAACTATGTTTCAAGCTCAGTCTCAAAGTTGTTCTAATGGACTATTTTTCGGAGTTCGCCGAGGCTGCCACACAAAAGCACGATGGCTATTATTTTTTGCTATTCTTATTTATTATAAGTTATGATTCGTGCTCTGTCTTTCATTCGAATAGAAAATGTTGTTCTACTATTCCGTCAGGCCAGTAACACAATTTAAAATCTGACCAGAAAAGGCTAAATTTGCATGTGAAGAACTGCATGATCAAAAAGGCGTTGTATTGCTTGCATTCAGTGCGCTATATAAAGTTGTTTTAAAAAATGGTAATAGTGTGGACGAACAATTATATGCAAGTCGACAGCTGCTTATATGACAACTTAGGTTTATAATGAGCAATGGAAACATGTATCCAAAAAACTTGCCTTTTGGTTGCAGCCGATTCCTTTTGTGGACTGGATAGATCGATGGTGGGAATGGGAGTTTCTTGAATCACAGCATCTGAGTCTTTTCGATTTTCTAAAATTTCGCATATTACTTACTAGCTAATGAATGCACATGTTAAATACCTTTGCGGGTTTTGGATCGAGTAGTCCTAATTGACTGCGGTGAATTTTCAATTTTAGGTTCTTTTAATTTTTTCTTCGGCGGTATCCAAGTGGGCGCCGCCATTTCCGACTTTTCCACCTTAATCGCACGTTCCAGCGGGGCAGCCACATCTGATTTCTTTTCGGTTTTTATCTGCGTAAACAGCAAAGATGTATATTGCATTTGACGTAGTTTTGGATTTTACCTGCGGTTGTTTATTACTGGTGGGGCTGTCTTCCGTTACTACTGATAACTTTTTAGTGGTTGGTTTTCGTCTTCGATTTTTGGTGCACATTACTTCCTGTGAGGCACATGCTGAGTGACAAATAGAAAATATTATTTAATCTACCATTGGTAGAAAAATATACTTACAGGTATCAGCGTGTTTTCGAAGTATTGAATCAACTTCTCCAGTCCGCATAAACCTCTTTAGAGCATCGCTGAATTGATCCAATTCCTGCAAATGTTTATTGCATTCAATAAGACACACTTTAACTGGAATTTGAGAGAGTTTAAGCAGGCGGTTTTCTCAATTTCCATAAAGACTAATCAGCAAAAGCGACATACGATAGAGATAATCTAATATTGCTTCGAGTATTTATGTTTATATATATAATTTATGGCGGGTATGGCAACAACGCTCGACATAAGATGATGACGTGCGACCATAGTTATAGTGTACGGAGTATAGTTGTATCGTCTTGTTATCCGAAGATCTCCCTCATTGCGCCCAAAAAGTCCCTGAAGTGGCTGTACAAAGCTTAACCACAATTTCCTTATCCGGAAATAAGGCAATCAGGCAAACGTACCTATATTCAATGTTGCTTTCTTTCGCCGCTACAGGGCGCCAAAGTTCTCAAATTAATATCGTTTATTTCAAATAATTTCTAACGCCTATATCGATTTTCACTAATTTTGGAATCTACAATTCCTACATAAGTTGACGAGTTTTGACGTAAGTGCTATCTATTCAAATCTTACAAATAATTTTAGTGTTTTTTTTAATAAGAGTACTTTCTGTCAATTTTGTCTCAAATTCGAAAAAGCCGATGAAGAATACCAAACTATACAGAGAGATTCAAAATATTTAAAATCTCATTTCTCTGGGGGTGTTGTTAGAAAAATAGTAAAAAAATTGTTATTAAAAACTGAGATATTCTCAAAAAACTAGATCAGAAGGATGGCAACAATGTTTTTCAAGGTAATCTGCCTCATTAAAATTACATAAATACCTGTTTTTTTTTTCGGTGAGGTTTGGGAAATGCTCTTTTATGCACTCCCAGAGCTGGTGGTCTGTCGCTCTGGGTTGTGTGGGACTCCTGCTAAGCTGTTTACCCACTAAAACCCTTTCCTCACCGCCGAGGTGGTGTTTGGCCTTGCACCGCGGCCATTTCTGCCCTATTGTGCCCTCGTATTTTACTCCCTCATTATCCTGGGCCTGGTCTGGTAGTCATCCCTGGCTATAGCTCGTCGACTTTCCCAAGCAGGTGTCTCTTTATGAGTTCTCCCTACTGAGGAGAAAAGTTCTTCTCGGGATATCCGACCGCCGACCATCTTAATCCCGAAAACCGCAACTTTGCAAGACTTGCGTGTGGTTCCTTCCTATACGGAAGTTCCCACATACAGCCGCCCAGGTGCTGGCTTGTTGGGTGTGCTGCCATCCGACTGGTGTCCCTTTTACGTCCCGGTCATGGCAGCTTTTTTGGGCTGTGCTGGTTCCCCTGAGGGTCTACCTAACACAGTTTTGGTGGTTTTTCCGCCTGGCGGCCCCCGAGAGCTTTTTACCACCGTTCGGTACTTTGCCAGCTGCGGGGCCCGACGGTTCTTCTGAGGAGGTCCCGCCGGTATTTTGTGGTGTATGATGGTGGTGTTTTCCTCCCCATCATTCCCACGAGTAGCTAGGGAAGGGTTAGGTCCATTCACACAGAGCCCGCATGTGTGGATAAGGCTGATACAATGAGGTGCGCCTGTTGCCTCAAGGTTAGTCGCTACTGGCTGGGCTTCCCCCAGCCTTGCATCTCTTGGCGCGCACTATACCGTGAGAATTGGGAGGTGTTATAGTGACCTCGTCACGCAATCCGGGTAGTAAAACCAAGATCCCCGCGCCCCCTACAGTACCTATCCCGAGGCCGTAGCCACGAGAGTCGCTGCACTGCAGGCGGTTTGCGGTTTGCGCCACGAGCTGGTCCGCGGCGACGGCTTTCGATCCAGATCCGTGGGTTTTATTCCACGACTTTCACTTATGGCCGTCGCTAACCGGTCAGACGTATCTGACCGGCCTTTCCCCTATTCGCCACCAGGGGACGCGCCCGATGGGTCGCTCAACCTGCACGGGAAATATATGTTACTTCTTAATTATTTCCAACTGTAGTAACCATTGGACGAAACAAACACAACGAAAGGGAAAGTGGAAATTAAATATTTTGAGGTTAAGGTTAACCTTGTCACTGCCGTCAGTGAGGGCAACATTTTTGGTATAAAAAAGTGTTGTACCTGAATCCACCAAGTTGTTAAATCACATGAACTGTTTGAATTTCAGTCCGTTTAACTCCAATCATGTTTGTGCCCCATCACTTTATTGTACACGCTCACATTTTGAGCAGTTTCTCGTATTCGGTTAATTAACTTGTTCTCAATTTGTACCGATTTTGAGTAAACCAGAGATTTAATGTGTCTAGGTGTCCTGTTTATCTTATGACGTGCCGAGGGGAAAAATCGCAAAATGTTTATATTTCTTTCCTCCGGCCGGTCCTGACCATTACTCGCTTGCACCCTGGAACTACCCGCGCGCCCTTCGATCGAGGTCGGGTTCCAAGGGGACTTCGGGGGAGCGGTCGGAAAGAAAAAAGGCATCGATGGTCAGTCCCAAAGGTGTGTGCTAAACGGCAGGACGGGTGTTTGGGCCCTTCCGTTTTTTTTGGTTCCGGGACGCCCACTCAACGCCACGCGAAGCGGCCATTGTTTTTTTTTTAAACCAAATCCTGTTTTTTTCCGGGGCATCCTAGCCCCTAGAAACTCGAATCGCGGAAGGTGACTGTGCGCGACCCGTCAGTGACAAGACTCACCAGTTTTTTTTTTGGTTTTACGAGGTACTTTTTTCTTTGTTGTGTTGGTTGTTTTTTTTGTATTTAAGTTTTTTTTTATTTGGACTTCTTCATGTGTGGTGCGCATTAAGGACACTGAAACAGGGGGGTACTACCCTAAACAAGTACCTGGCACCCTTACGCGCCGAACCATTAGAATAATTTTTTTGTTTAAATTTTGGTTTTATTGTGCGCATCCATCACCTTGTCATGCAGGGACAAGGTCGTGATTCCCGCTCTCCACAAGAGGAGACAGAGGCGCCCTCTGCTCGCAACTCGAGCG